CTTTACAAATGCGTAATTATAAAAAATTACAGCCAAATTTGCGCATTTAGTTCGTTTTAGAAACGACATTCCAATGAAATAACCGTCAACCATCAAATGATCTAAAATTTAACCGTCAATCGTCAAAAGGGCTTATTTTTAACCGTAAACCGTCAACGTGAGTTACTTGACCGCCCCTTGGCGAAAAACATTAATCAACTCCATATGAGTCTTTAATGTTTACTTGTTTGCAATTTCCACAGAACGTGATGTGACAAGGAAGGTGCAAAGAATTTTGATGGTGAGAAAGTTTTTGGACTTGTTATGTTTTGCATATTCTGTCCAGTATGGACGTTACACCCCAAAATAATAACTCCAGGGGGCAGTGCTGCGGGACGTACTGAAGAAATGCTAGTATGTTTTCAACGGATGTTACACTCCAAACTAATGATTCCTGGGAGCAGCATTGCAATACATACCAAAAAACTGCCAATAGTGTTTTCAATGGCGTTGCCATCTTACGACATATACTTCCATTTGATATTTTTTAAAAGCTTACAACTCGCGCTCGATTTCTGTTGTCGATAACAGTCACACTATAACACGTGAACTAAAATGCTTGGAATTGCGTGAACTGCCTGGATTCAGAAGAAGAAAGAATCAATAGAAGTGGAATCCATTGATTTGCAAAGCCCTAAACCTTCAATGATGATTCGTCAGCCACATTGCAACACGATTGCAGAGAACATAATTGGATTAAAAAAATTCCTCTCACAGTCAAATTGGACTCGGCCTAAGGCCTCGTCCAATTTTTTCCAAATTGGACAGAATGTAGTGCTACTACACATCCAATACACGAGTACAGAAAAACTTTAAAACGTGATACTGTTACTGGTATTTCTGTTGTTAAATCAGAAAAATGTTTATCAAATTTTTTGTGGCTTAAGAATATTAAATGTTTAATTGATGAGGTTTTTGTACATGTACAAAATTGACATGAATGTTGAATTCTCAAAAATTTTGCAACTGAATAGTTTTTCAAAATTCTCTAATCTTAGAGTGGATCCTCCAAAACTTACACAAGGGAACCATAATGAACAACAGGACAAAAATCAAGCAAACCATCCTTATAGGTATTTCTGTTGCTGAATTCATGCACAATACCAAACGTGATCTACAAGCAATCGAGTTATGCAAGGAATGTTTAGTTTTGCTAAACAGCATAGCATTGGGTGAAGAAGATCAATTCACTATACTATCTATCATTGCGATCGATTCAATAATGATGTCCGCATATATCAACATCTCTGATTACACAAACGCAGAAAGATGCGCTAGAAAACGTATTTTTGCACTCCATGATTTTGGAGCCACAAAATCAGAAGGGCAAGTAAGGTTACAACTGGCAAAAATACTTTACAAGCAAAGAAGGTTTGAAGACGCAAGAAAACAGTGTGAAATCGCAATAGGAAACATGAAGGCAATTCGAGAAAGGCTATGGGAAGCCATTGGTTACAATGATCTGGGAATTATGTTAGAATCACTCGGTGAATATCAGAAGGCTAAAGAATATTACGAGAAAGCACTTGCCATCCAAATGGAAATTGGCCACAAGAGAGGAGAAGCAACAACCTACGGAAACCTAGGAGTTGTGTTACAATTACTCGGTGAATATCAGAAGGCCAAAGAATATTACGAGAAAGCACTTGCCATCCAAATGCAAATTTGTGACAAGGAAGGAGAAGCAACAAACTACGGAAACCAAGGAACTCTGTTTCTCTCACTCAATAAATATCGGAAGGCCAAAGAATATTAGCT